GTGTGAGCGGAGCGGCGCGAGGAGGAGACGCCGCCGCCACCGCTGCCACCTCTGGTCCTTCGGGCCACGCCTGGGCCTTGCAGCCAGGACGCAGTGGCCTCAGGTAACCAGCCGCCCGTCCCCTGCGCGGAGCGGGCCGGACCCCGGGTTTCCGCGGCCCCCGGGCGGTCTGCGCCCTCGGGCCCTGAGCCCCACGCCCCTTCTCTCTCCCGCGCGCCGCGGCTCGGGTCCGAGAGCTGTCGAACCCGGCGCCTGGTCCTGCCAGTTCTGGTGACTCATCCTTCAAGGGACTCGAGCCCGGGATTTGGGGACTGGCGGAGGGAGCGACGGGTGTCACCCTCTTCCCTTCTCAAGATGGCGCCGTGGGAAGAGTTCTGGAGGCCGCCGTTCTGCCTGGCCTCTGTCCTGGCCGCCCCGCGGGTCTCAGTCCAAGCCAGGCCCGGTGCGGGGGAGAGAATGGAAAGACGGCCCCGGGGCCCGGCGGGCATGGCTGCTGCCGGGGAGCCGGAGTTGGCCCTCAGCTTCTCGGGGCTGGAAGTGGGGCCTGCGGCAGGGGTGAATCAGGGGAGCTCGGCCTGTCTTACCTGCGAAGACGGGCAATGCAGAGGTGGGGACCCCTCCAGATAGGCCGTCTGGAGGCTCTCGTCTCACCTAGGGAAGGTGGTGAGCCGCAGCTTAAAGAAATCGAAGAACTCGGCCGCCCAGCTCCTTGCGGTAGAGACCATGAAGCTGGCTTACCACCCCGCTCTGCCCCCGAGACTTTCCGACTGCAGAAGCTCTGAAAGTCACAGTTAACGTGTTTGAGTTTTGTCTTGCTCAAGTGGAATCCAAGTGTCGAATCAGTTGCCTTTCACATTAAGTAGTAGGATGAAAACACGTGTACACCTTTGGGAATACGCAGGATGGCTCAGGAACTTCATTCCTAACGTAAAATGGATTATTGTAAGCAGGGTACATTGAACAGTGCCTGGCACAAAATAGTACCTAGGACATTTTTTAATCCAAGAGCACCTGGAAAGAGATTTAAAATGCATACTATGCATACTATACAGATTTTTGCTTTGCAAAACAAAAGTTTAATGAGTACTAATGAATGTGCACAATTTTAAATTTTACTCTTAAATAAACTATATATTTATAATTTAGTTGTTCACTTTTTGAGATTTTTTAGGAGTAACTATGATTTAGTAGCTTTAAACTTTGAAAGGCAAAGCTAAATTAGGATATTGTTAAATTTCTTTTTTTCAGACGAGAATCTGATGTTTCCCCTGAAATTTTGGAAATACCATAGAAATTAAGAGAATGTTATCCTTGATAAGTAATTTGCTGTTTTAAGATGACGCTTGGGAAGTGTTTCAGTTGATACTGTGTATGTCCGAAGGTATATATTGGCGCATTTTTAATCTGTTGAGATATTTAAATGAAATGATGCAAGGTTTTTACGGAGGGAATCATCAGGTTTAGTATATTAGTAAGCATATAGTCAGTTTTTGATTAATTACAGAAGTAAAGTAGCATTGAGTTGTGAATAGATTGTAAAAGAGTTCTTCAGATAGTCACAAATTCCTAAACATTATCAGATAGTGACATGAGAAGACATAGAAGTTGCCTTTCAAGCTAGTTTTCTTTCTTTTTTTGTTACAGGACACTCGAGCTCTGTTAAGCGAGTTTTTTGTTGTTGCTCCAACTGTACTAAGTAGAAAATAATAAAATGCTTTTTGTTAGCCCAAACATATAAAGAAAGTTAAAATTAATATATGGAAATAAATAACCATATAATTTCAGCATGTAGAGGACATGTTAGCCTCTGTGTGTGCTGCGCTTCAGCAGATGAGGAAACAGTTTTAAGTTGTTGAGTTACTAGGCATAAAAACCTGAAAGTTTATAAAATAGTTTTGCTTCAGAATTATCATTCATTAAATGGAAAGCTTGCCATTTAATAGAGACCTTCAAATAATACTAAAATTCTAAGATCTGTTCTAACTACTTTTCATTTATTAACTCAATTTTCTTTGAAACAATTGTAACCCAAGTAGTCTAGCTCTGGCACCTGAACTCAGGTTGCCTGGATTAGAAGCTCCGCTCTGTCTCACTTCTGTTCCAGTACCTGTAGCTTCAGTCAGGTTACTTAACCTCTCTGTTCCTGTTTCCTCAGTTATAAGGATCACAATAGCATAAAACTTAATAGAATGGTAGAATGGCTACGTTAGATACTTAAAGCACTACCTAATGTGGAATGTTGCGTCTTTAATAAAAACTTTAAAAAGTTTTGGGGTCAAAAACTTATGTCTTTAAATTATTCTATAACAGGGCTATGAAACAAACCAAATAACGTTACTGAATGTCCAGTACAGCTTGTAACATTCGTACAGTAATATGTCAGAGACAAAATTTGAAGCAGTTAATATTTGCTTTGTTTTACTTATTTGTATATTTAATTATTTCCTTTTTTTTTTAAACAGGTTTTTTTTTTTTTTTTTTTAACCTCCCGGAAGAAAAGAACTGACACATTTTCCACCCTGGAAGTGTACTTAAGAGTGTGAAGTTAGGGACTTCTTTCAAATTTGGACATGGCTAATCGAGGAGCAACAAGACCCAACGGGCCAAATACTGGAAATAAAATCTGCCAGTTCAAACTAGTACTTCTAGGAGAATCTGCTGTTGGCAAATCAAGCCTAGTGCTTCGTTTTGTGAAAGGCCAGTTTCATGAATTTCAAGAGAGTACCATTGGGGGTGAGATTTTCTTTTTTCCGTGCTTTATTTAATTGAGTTGTTATTTTAATGTTATAATTGTGTGATTGTGGATAACTAAATAAATCATACAGTGAGAAGAGTTGTTCAGACCTCAGGCTTTAAAAACTTTAAATCTTGACATTTGTTAACCAGTCATTTTTTACATTTTATTTTCTGATTAATTCTTAATGTGGTTGTATTATAGCTAAAATGCAGATACAAACAGGAGTAGAATCAATGTCCCAAATAACAACATTTGACTTGGTATCTATTTCATAATAATAATTAGGCAATTCTTTAAAATAATACTAGTTTGTGATCAGTTATAGAATGAACAGTAAGCATTAACTTTACATTCTATTTCTATATAACTAGACTGTAAATTAATTTACATTGATTTAGAAAATTAAATTTAATCAGGCATTACTAGGATATACATGTAAGAATGTTTTTAGTGTGAGGAAAACAATGATTAATAAAAAGGAACATGACAGGAAAATCGGCGAAAAATGAAGGGGAAGAGGGACAGTAGTGGTAGTAGGATGGAGGTGGCCAAGGTAAGATACAGGTCAAAAAGATAAATAGTACAGTCGAGAGAAGACTGAAAGTTAGAGAATTAGATTTAATCAAAGAAATCAACAAATATATGGGCTAGGATAACCTCACTGAAGATTCATTAAGGTTCATACATACTGGAAGATAGCAGTTCATAGTCCATCTTTCAGAAGCAAAACTGTATTGTGCATTAAGTGGATGTTCATAAGCAAGTAAGCTTGAGAACTTTATTCATAATTTCTGCCCCTTCTTGTAAGATAGATTACAGAACTCTACTACTGAATTTTTCCTACTTGTAGGAAACACACAAGGTAAAGTGTTTCTACTTTAATAGTCTCAGCAGTATTATAATGGTGATAGCTGGCCTCTTATCTTTGTATATCATGTTACAATGTTTTAATGTTTGATGTCTTTTTATAATTGCTGAGCACCAGAAATAATAGTGCATATTATGGAACTTTTTTCTTCTTTGAGAATTTTCTATAGGCTGCATCCACTTGTCAGAGACAGACATAAAGTGAGAAATCACCTCCCAGGTGGGATGGCCATGCTGCAATCCCTTTTCCATTCTCCTCTCGGGATTTTGGGCACACATGCATACATGCCTGGTGTGATTTTTAAGTCGCTGATTCTGGGACTCTGGTCTATGATGTGGGAGTCTAGCAACCTAACCATTATGCCGTCTGCTGGTCCCATGTTATGGAACTTTTATTTTGAGTCACAAGTATTGACATTTTAAAAGAAATGTTAATGCAGAGTATATTACATATCCATTGTGGGTTTTTTACAACTAATACATTATATTAAGTTTAGTAATGAAATGCTACCTCAGAAAAATCAGACTTCTCCGAAAGCATTTTGGGCCAAAGCTAACTGGGCCATCGGGCAGGCAGATTTGTAAAGACACTTATGTCATGCCCACACACCTTAAACTATTTGACGGTCAGTGCCTAAAGTGTACGTATGCATATTGGGTAAATTCTTGGGTCCAGTTGGTTTGGGATTTGCTAAATGCTAACTACTACCTCCTCTTCACAGTACATATTAAAATAATAACTCTGTGAAATATGTAGCATAGAACTCAATCCCTGGGAAGATTTGAAAGAACCTAAGACTACAGGTTTTTGTTTTGGATAATCCAGTTATCTTCTAAGTTTATTTTTTCCTAATGACATCAAGGATGTTTAAAAGAGAAATTTAACCCCATATCAGTGCTTTATAAACATACATGTTGTCTGATGTGTGTATCTATATATAAAATCTCCATTTCCATTTTTTTTAAAGAGGTTTTTGCTATAGGGTGTGTGCGCTCGCCAGACAGACAGACAGAGACAGAGAGACAGAAAGTGAGAAATCACCTCCGGGGGGGGGGGGGGCGGGGGAATGGCCACACCGCAATCCCGTCTCCTCCATTCTCCTCTCAGGATCTTGGGCACGCACGCACATACACCTAGCATGAGTTTTAAGCCATCAGGTCCGGGATGTGAACCGTGGTCTACTACATGGGAGTCCAGCGACATAGCCATTACGCTAACTGCTGGTCCCTAAAATCCTCATTTTCATTTAACACCAAGTAGATAGCTGCATTTCATTAATGAATTTTTCATAAACATACTCCTATTTGTAAAACATCCTTAATATTTTCTACTTGTATAGAACAAGTCTGTTTAAAAATAGCTTTACAGGGGACCAGCAGTTGGCATAATGGCTATGTTGCTGGACTCCCATGTAGTCGACCGCAGTTCAAGTCCCAGACCCAGTGGCTTAAACTCACACCGGGCACACGTGTGTGCGTGCCCAAGATCCCGAGAGGAGAATGGAGGAGAAGGGATTGTGGCATGTCCATCTCTCCTGGGGAGTGATTTCTCACTCTCTGTCTCTCTGTCTTTCTGGCAAGCAAACGCGCCCTATAGCAGAAACCTCTCCAAAAACAAAAAACAACTTTACAAGGAATTTGCATCTAAATTTCTGTGTTATTGATTATTGTACATTTTTTCGCCATGCTGACTACATATTCATTTCTTCTGGAGTAATGATGGTACCATTATGATTACAACTGTGAGTGACATTCTTTTAGGCTCTTTGCTAACAGCCTTTCACTCTTAAGAACTATAGTAGATTCTAAGCATTTAAGAATTTCAAGGTTTAATCTTTTTAATGATCAATCCATAATTTATAAATAATATGTATTTTTATTTTGACCTATGTGTGTTAGAAATGACAAATTACTATTGTTAGTATTTAACAAATGAACCTGGTCAACTAGTTTGCATTTCAGCCATTTATTTTTTATGTTTTGACTATATCTAGTAAAATTTCCTGTGTTGTTGAATTTGTGGATTCTAGAACTTCATATTCATTGAGAATACAAAGATTTCACTTGTAATTTGTGTGGTTCTTTTTACAAATGATAGCTTGATTTAAGAATTCTGGTTATTTCACTATACCCCACACCTCTAGATTCTATAGGATTCTGTAGCACTTTCAGGGAGTTTTATAATTTACTTGTGAGAGTTTTAAGTCTGTGTGATATTTATGTTACAGTTGTCTAAAATTAGCCCAGGGGTCAACAAGGAGTATTAGACCCAAAGGGCTATCTTCTTGCTATCTCATCTTTAGGCTCAGTGTCAGTAAATGCTTATTGGGTGATAGGATTGACCATCGTTGACTCAAACTTTGAAGATTTCTATTAAGTTCCCCCCCTTTTTTAAAAATTTTTTTAAGGTTTTTGCCTTTGGACATATGTACGCTAGCTGGAGAGAGAGAGTGAGAGGAAAAGTGAGAAATCATCCTCAGAGGGGATGGCCATGCCCCACTCCCCCTCCTCCATTCTCCTGGGATTTGGAAATGCATGAATGCATGTCTGGCCTGCGTTTCAAGCCATTGGGTCTAGGACTCAAGCTGCAGTCGGCCTTGTAGGAGTTCAGCACCCTAACTATCACACCTCCTGCTGGCCCCTCTAAAGTTTTTCTCAAAGGAGGAGAGAGAAAGTACCTCCCTATGGAGTGTGGTCAATGCTGTGGTCCTTTTTTTTCCCTTCCTTCTTGCTGTCAGGAATCTGGCTGTGCACACATGCTTGGCATGTTTTTAAGCTACCTGGGCCAAAATTTGAACTGGGTTTGGCCATGCAAGATCTAGCTCCCTTAACCATAGTGCTACAGGGCCAGCCTACCAACAATACTTATTTTTGAGAAGTTATTTTCATATTATAAACAGATTCTCAGTATAGGTAAGAATAAACAGTGAAATAGCATGTAGTCAGACAGTCCTGTGTTCTTTTGAACAAAATATTTCATACAAGTTTTAATCACTAATCAAAACACAAGTGTGTCTTACTGACTAAAGAAGAATTTTGGTTACAGAACTATACATGAAAATATAAACAATCCTCTTGATGGTACTGCTATTTTAAACTTTAGAGCACTTATTTTTAGAGACTGTTCTCCGATCAGAAATGTCTTGATTGTGTGGGAACTTACTAGAATGCAAATTCCCTGTTGAATCCAAACACTGGGATAGGACTAACAGTGTAGGGTTTGACAAGTCCTTCAGGTGATTCTGATGCATGTTCAAGTTTGAGAACCATTGCCTCTTGCATTCTGAGTAGTTATTTTACATTTATACTATAGTTGAGTTCTCCCACAAATGTAATCATTGCTCACCAGAGAGAGGAAATTCCACCACTACCACCACACCCTCTCCCCATCGGGTAGTGACTATGCCTCAATCCCTTCTCCAGTGTCTTCTCAGGATTTGGGGCACACATGCACATACACCCAATGTGATTTTTTTTTCCAAACTTCTGGGTCTGGGACTTGAACATGCAGTCAATCTTATGGAATCCAGCACCTTAGCTTTTCATGCCACCTGCTGGCCCTCTAGGGTTTTTAAAATATTTTTGCAACTATTGCAGTTTAATAATTATGTGTGTACTAGTCACTTATTTGTACCTCTTTATATGGGAACTTCTGCTACTATGTTAGTCTTCTATAGAAGTGAACATGATCCCATTTTTGGTCTCAGCATGGATATTCTGCTTTCTCTCCACTTACAGAATGCCCACAGGTTTTAGTTATCTGCACCAATGCCACTCTCCTTTATTGCTATACATAATCAAGAGCTGATTGTACACAAAATTAAAGAACTAAGTGACTCAGCAGTTATTTACCCTAAGTGAAGTGTTCCTTCTACTACACTTAACATCCAGCTAATTGGTTGGAACAGCTTGTTAACCATGCTGAGAGGTTAGCATGACTTGTTTATATTTTGAAACATGTAATAGAAAAAAAAATCGTTAAAATTTATAAAAAGGCTTGTTTCAAAATTATTTTGTTGTTTTTAGAGAGATTTTGCTCAACAGGGTGCAAAGAAAACAGAGACAAAGTGAGAAATCATACTTTCCCTCTCCCCCCCATCCTCCCCAGGGGGATGGCCATGCCACAATC